CTAGCTCCACCGAGCCTTTCCCGTGCCTTCCAATCAGCGTCCTGTTCCCTCCTCCTGCCACGAGGAATTCTGGGGTACCTGCTCCATGTGAATTTAGGAGTCGTGCCCTGTGCAGACGACACCCCAGCATTCAGGCAGCCTGCAGTGGAGATTGGTGATCACGTCTCTTCCTTATAGCTCAGTGCAACTCTCCAGCCCTTGCGGTCACCTCCCCTACTTCTGCTGGGCCCCCCAAGTTCTGGTCTCACCCTGCATGGTTGAGCATCAGGCTGAGAGCACGAACCTATCCGGAGACTCCCTGAGGGTGGCCGGGGTGCTCATCTTGTTTTCTGAGGTCCTGCCATTCAGAGGCAGATGGGGGCAGGGCTCTCCAGTGTGAGAGCTGGGCTCTGGGAACCACATGGCGGTGACCACTGACCTGCGGGAGCTCGAAGTCCTGCGGTTGTTACCTCCCTGGGCTCTGGGCCCTTGCTGTCAGGATGTGCTCCATATTCAGAGGCAGAGTGAAAGCAGATGGGGCTGGGACCTCAGCCCCTCTGTGCTGAGGATGTGGAGTCCTGCCCCCTGCCAGGCTGAGGTGGGCAGTGTGCTGGGATCCTGGTGAATATTTAGCGGTGTGTCCCTTTGCTTGCTCCTGCCTATGCAAACGGCCACCTGGAGCAGAAGGCACACCAGACAGTGTGCTCACAGCAGTGGGGGCTGGGGTGGAGAGCAGCAGGCCAAGTATCACGGAATCTGACCGAGAGAGTCCCTGCTCGGCTGCAGCCATGGCCATCTGGATGTGGGGAGCCTGTGTCCTCTGCCTGCTGAGTCCAGTAGGAGCCGTGAGTAGCCAGCTCAGATCCTCCTCCCTCTCCCACTGGGCTCCAGTTCTGGGAGCCAAGGGGTATCTGGGGACCCGGCTGGAGGCCCCATTGTCCTGCCCCAGCAAGGGAGTCTCCCTACCGAGCAGGGTCCAAGAGTGGTTCGGAGGAGTCCCTTGCCCTTCCCTGGAAAGTCTACTGCGATGGCTAAGGAGTCCTTCCTGGGGCTGAGCTGAGCTGGCTTCCCTGCTGCTTTCCTCAGGCCTGGCTGTGCCCTCTGGGGGCCATGAAGACCCCCTCATGTGCTTGTTTTCTGAGCCATGCATCATGCCCATTGCTACACACTGTCTACTAAAGACCTTAGCCCCTTCTTACCCCTATGACTCTTCCACAAGCCTCAGTCTGCTTGTTTCCCTTGTAGAAGATGCACCCAGGCCGAGCAGGCCTGAGTAGTGGTGGGTACTAGATGTACCTGCTCTGCATTGGCAGGACCCACTCTTTCTCCATGATGCCCTGGCCAGAAGCAGCTCTGGCCTGGGAAACTGCAGCAGGAGTCCAATACAGAGGGTCTGCTATGTGCTGCAGGGTCCGAGAAGCTTTTCCAGGTCAATGAAGAGGGACTAGGAGGAGAATCACAAGATTTTGGGGGGTGTGGATGGAGGCCTTCTCCTCCCAGGGCCCTGCCTGGGGAGCAGTGCCCCTCCCAGTACCTCCATGACCTGGGTACATTGGCTTTAGGCTGGAGTCTTGGAACCATGAAATTGACTGTGTGACCAGGGTTAAGTTCCTCCTCTTCTTTGAGTCTCCCTAGTAAAGAGGAGATCTTCTCTGTTGCGCAGGCTGTGCAGTGACTCAGTCTGACTATCAGGACTGGGGATAGGGTGCAATGCAGGCACCTTTCACTGCCTACCCACTTCCTCTCCTCTGTGTGTAGCCTACAGCAGAAGCTTGATGTTCAGCAGTGGGCCTTCCACCAGTGGGGTTACCCAGCATTGGGTGCCGCTGCTAGCCCCAGAGTTAGAACTAACCATCTCCCATCATGTCCCACTGTGGGGTCCAGCCCCACAGACTCCTGGGATGTGCAGTGGTCACACTTGGCAAGGCTGGGCATCCATGGTGATGGGGTCTCCCTTATTGGCCTGTGTATGAGGGGGACTCAGCAGGAGCATGGAGTGACTTGCCATCTCTCCAGCCCTGCCTCTTCATCCCTGTCCACACTGTCCACCTGATAGCTGGCCTGGGGGCCACACACCCCTGCGCACACTGTCTGCTTGTTAGCTGGCCTGGTTGAACCTCCCTGAGTTTTCTGCTCCTCTTAGGATGTGCAGAGATACTGCGTCCATCCGTTAGGTACAGGCTGCTCACCTGGGGCCTGTGCTCCTTGGCCTCAGCAATTCATCAGACAGCACCTGAGAACATGTCCCATGGAGGGATGGTGTTCCCACTCGGTGGAGGGAAGGACGGAGGCCAGATCTTTGCACACCCACAGGGCGATAGTCAGACTGATTGTGTATGAAGTCATTCTCACCCATTCAGGACTCTGTTCATTTTTCATTTGCCTGTAGTCTGGGGGAGTAGGAGGTTGACGTGCTGGAAGTCCTGGGTTTGACTTACAGATCCCTAGAAAATTTGCTGAAATACCAAGTTCTCAATTCATTGTAGGTCTCTGTATCTCTGGTGCCATTCCTTTTGGTCTCCAGTTGGTATGAGGCGCACTTTTAAAAATATGGCCAGAGAGGTAACTTGCTTTCCAGTTTCCAGATATCGTTCCCTGTGGTTCTTGGCAGCACCAGATTCTGGGAAGCTGCTAAAGCTGTAATTCCCCATAATTGCTAAGCCACTCATGCAGAAAATTATCCTTCTATCCATCTATGCATCAACCCACTCACACCCTTCTGATATAGCCCCTTACTCATACTGTCCACCCATCCACCATCCACCATCCACCCATCCATCAATCCACCATCCATCCATCCACCATCCACCCATCCACCATCCATCCACCATCCACCATCCATCCACCATCCACCATCCACCATCCATCCACCATCCACCATCCACCATCCATCCATCCATCCATCCATCCATCCATCCATCCACCATCCACCATCCACCATCCATCATCCACCATCCACCATCCATCCATCCATCCACCATCCACCATCCATCATCCACCATCCACCATCCATCCATCCATCCACCATCCACCATCCATCCATCCATCCATCCATCCATCCATCATCCACCATCCATCCATCCACCATCCACCATCCACCATCCATTATCCACCATCCACCATCCATCCATCCATCCATCCATCCATCCATCCATCCATCCACCATCCACCATCCATCATCCACCATCCACCATCCATCCATTCACCATCCATCATCCACCATCCACCATCCATCCATCCACCATCCATCCATCCATCCACCCATCCACCATCCACCATCCATCCATCCATCCACCATCCACCATCCTCCATCCATCCATCCATCCATCCATCCATCCATCCATCCATCCCCCATGCACCATCCACCATCCATCCATCCATCCATCCATCCATCCATCCATCCACCATCCATTCATCCATCCACCCACCCACCATCCACCATCCATCATCCACCATCCATCCATCCATCCATCTATCCATCCATCCATCCACCACCCACCACCCATCATCCACCATCCATCCATCCATCCATCCATCCATCCATCCATCCATCCATCCACCATCCATCCACTATCCACCATCTGTCCAGCATCCATCCATCCATCCATCCATCCATCCATCCATCCATCCATCCACCATCCATCCATCTATCCATCCATCCACCATCCATTCATCCACCCACCCATCCACCGTCCATCCATCCATCCACCATCCATCCTTCCTTCCACCATCCACCATCCACCATCCACCATCCATCATCCACCATTCATCCATCCACCCATCCACCATCCATCCATCCATCCATCCATCCATCCATCCATCCATCCATCTGCCATCCATCCATCCATCCATCCATCCATCCACCATCCATCCACTATCCACCATTTGTCCACCATCCATCCATCCACCATCCATCCATCCACTCACCCATCTGCCATCCATCCATCCATCCATCCACCCACTATCCACTATCCACCATCCATCCATCCACCATCCTTCCACCATCCACCATCTATCCACTGTCCACCATCCATCCACCATCCACCATCCATCCATCCACCATCTGTCCACCATCCACCATCCATTCACCATCCATCCATCCATCCACCACCCACCATCCATCCACCATCCATCCATCCTTTTGTTTATTCATCACATTCTTGCTCCTTCACTTCAGTCATGTATCCACTTAGCCATACATTCTCTCATTTGCTAAACAACTAAATTATCTTCTCCTGCATCCCTGCCTGCAGGATCCTGAAAGTCTGCAATGGTTTTCAGTGGGATGGCATCAAGAGATTAGCAGAGTTATGTTCCTTATGGAGTTTGTAGGAGAGCACTCACTGCCTTGTCTTTTCCTTGGCTTGCAGGGTCTTTATATCTCAGTCTCTCTTTCCCTATCTCACTCTACTTTCCTCATCAAACATAATTCTCTGATTCTGATCTCTTGTCCCCTTCTGATAAGGCCCTTGTGATAACACTGGGCTACCACGAGATCTTTTGCTGACATCCTCTGGGTCTTTCTCCTTTGGAATCTCTGGGCCCTCCTGCCAAGGTGGTTTGAACAGAATCGTGTCCAGGGAGGAGTGCAGAATGGGAGAGTAACACCCGGCATGAGGAGAGGCCAATCCAGGGACTGAGCTGAGCATTGTCGCTAGCTGGATCCTTGGAAGAATTTGTTTAATGTGTTTTAGAAGATCTTAATTCCATGAGATGAAAAAGAAAGCATCTGCTCCAACCTCTGCCTGTCCTTCCTTTCTCTTTTCTCTCTCTCTTCCTTTCTTCTATCCACCCTTCCCTTTGTCTTCCTTACCTTCCTGCCCTGCTCCCTGTCCTTCCTCTCTTCCTTCCACGTATCTGAAGGACCATGAGACTCAACCTGTAAGTGCTGTGAGGCAGGTCTGGGCTGAGATCAGGGCACAGGAATGAATCAGGCTCTGGCTGTGTCTTCAGGCTACTTGGGCAGGGATCCCAGAGGGAACACTTGGCTGGCTGGGCTCATCCTGCTCACCCTCCTGCAGGTGCAGGGACACGTGCACCCCGAATGTGACCTCATCATCCGACTGCAAGAGGACGAGAGCACATGTCTGCAGGCGGCAGAGGGGATGCCCAACACCTCCCTAAGTATGGGACTTGGGAGGGTGTGTGGGCATCCCTGACTCAGCTCTCTCCTCCAGCCTCACCTGTTGGAGAGCTGGACCAGCCATGCCCTTGGCGGGGCTACCCCTGCATCTTCCATCTCTCCACCTAGGCTGCCCTAGGACCTGGGATGGGCTACTATGCTGGCCAATGGCAGGCTCTGGCGAGTGGGTCACCCTCCCCTGCCCGGATTTCTTCTCCCACTTCAGCTCAGAGCCAGGTAAGAGCTGGCTTGTGCTGGTGGTAGAGAAGCGAGGCCATTTCACCTGGGGAGGGTACACTGCTGGCTTTGGAGGCAGGCTGGCCTGGACTTGAACATAGCCTCCGCTCTGTGGGCACAACCCTGACCCCTGACCTCTCCTGAAGGAGAATAAGACACTAACCTGACACAAAGAGGACCAGAGAGCCGAACACAAACGTGCTGGCTGTGGGGCCAGTGCCAGCCAGCCTGGTTACAGGAGGCCCAACTGCCACGGTGGGGGAAGGCAGGGCTTGGCTGACTGCTGAGATGCGCCAGGGTGGGGAGGGTAGAAGGGCACCCACAGCTGCCTGCAGCCCTGGCCAGGTGTCTGGGTGGAGTGTCCCTCTGGGACAGAGAGGGTCTGCTTGCTTTCTTGTGGCCCTTAGTATGATGAAGGTCAACTCATCTGGCTTTTCTGGCCTCCAAGAAAGGTTCTCTCTGTCTTAAAGAGGGCGTACTAGAGGCTGAAGAGGGAAGGCACCAGAGTGTGGCCAGGCCGACTGGGCCTGAGCCCAGGCCTCATCCTCTTTCTGCCACTGAAGAAGACTGCCTGTACAAATCCTACCATGCTCCCAGCTCCTCCCACTCCTCCTGGCAGAGGGGTGGAACCATGTTGACCAGACTCCTACTTTTCCCCAGGGACTGTGAATCGGGATTGTACCATCGCAGGGTGGTCAGACCCCTTCCCACCTTACCCTCTGGCCTGCCCTGTGCCCTTGGAGCTGCTGATTGAGGAGGTAAAAGGTTTTGTGCATCTTGGAGAAAGGGTCACCATGGACATTTGTATGGGTAACTGACCTCACAAGACCTCACAACTGGGAGTGGGGGCGGAATGCCATTTCCTTTCCAGCCATCAAGTTGGGATATAGGTGTGGTGACACACGCCTGTAATCCCAGCACTGTGTGAGGCTGAGGCAGGAGAACTGCAAACTCAAGCTCCAACTGGGTACTTTATTGTGTCAAAATTAAAAAAAAAATTAAAAATGGCTGTAAGTGTAGCTCAGTGTGAAGCTCCTGGGTTTCCTCTCCAGACCATGGGGTGGGGGAAAGTCATCCGACAGAGGATGCTAAAGTGTCTGGGGCAGTGAGGCCATTTGCTCAAGAGTGACACATGCACACTCTGCTTGGAAGAAGGATGAGGCAGAGGGGAGGCAAGAGACTGGGGGTTCCCCACTCCTTAGTGAACCCCTTCTATGCCAAGGACTCTAGGGCAGGAAGCCAAGGGGTTCTAGAGAAAGCCAAAGCTCCAGGAAGTTGTGGGCAAGACTGGCTTCCCTAGTCTGCAGTCTATGGGGCAGTGACCATGGCCATGGTGCAGGCAGGGGGTGGCTCAGGCCTGGACTCCAGCCAGCATCTCCCATGCCACATGGAGCAGGTCCTGCCCCAGCAGGGCCTTGGCAGGTGTGTGTACCCTCCCCACCCCATTTCTTCCTGCCCTTCCCCCTAAAAGGTCCAATGTGTGTGTGGCCATTTTTTTTGATAAGAAATCTGAAGCAGAGAGGGGCAAGAACTTCACAGGAGAGCAAGGACAGGGGCCCCTGGTGGCCAGGTGAGACTCTGGCTCCAAACACTTGGGCACAGAAAGAACTTTTCCCTGCCTGCCTGTGGCTGTCCCCAGTGTCCTGGCCATCCCATTGATGCGGAGACACCGTGTTCCCAACCCTAGTTTGTTTCTGGCGAGCAAACTAGATGTCAATAGACATGTCAGATTTCCTCCTGGGCTGCCTCCCCAGGGATGAGCACCAGCAAGGCTCAGGGTCCCCACCCAACAGGCTCCAGCAGAGCAGGACAGGAGGAGAAGCCTCCCTTACACAGGGTGCTTCCCGTGCTGCCCACAGACACCTCAGCCCTGGGGAGAAGACAGAGGGCCTGTGAAGCCTGCTCCTGCTGCACTGACACACCTCCCTGTCCTCAGGGCTGAAGTCATTTTCTTTCTGCTCCCCCCAGAAATCTTACTTCTCCACCGTGAAGATCATCTACACCACGGGACACAGCATCTCAGTCGTCGCCCTCTTTGCGGCCATTGCCATCCTGGTTGCCCTCAGGTTCTCTGTCCTCATCACCCGCTCAACAAACCTCACTGGCTCCTATTGCCCAGAGGGCCAAGTGTGACGTTGCTGGGATGGCTAAGCTGTGCCTGGGTCCAGGCGCCATGTCCACGTCTACCCTTGCCCCAACGTGCAGACTGTCTCCTCCATGGCCTGCCAGGAGCTCACGCCTGCAGCCAGGCCTGTGCTTACCAAAAGCTCACACTGCTTGCTTGGAAGGCCTTTCCCCCTTATGTTTACCTTCCCCAAGCAGAAGCCCAGCCCTTCTTGATTATTTTAATCCTCAGACCACTGTCTGCTTTCACGGTTGTATAGCTACAAAGTCTGAGTGCACATCGGACATGTGCTGGCGTCTGCCGGGGGGCGGGGGACCCTCTGATATTCCGGGGGGCCCTCTTTCATCCCCACATCCCCAGATGGGGAGCTCCTGCAGGCAAGGATAAGTATTTTCCTCTGCTCCTGCCTCTCTGCCAGAGCCCAGGGCAATGTCTGTTCAGCTGATCAGCAAGGCGAAAATGTCAAGTCCAGCTCGATCTAGATCAATTTAGTTGGGCTTGATTCCATTTGATTTGGCTTGATTTGATTCATTTTCATTCCACTTACCTCCTGCTCAGCTCAGCACAGCCAAGCCAGGCCCCTCATGAGGCCCCAGGAAGCTCCTCTCCCTGCTGGCCAGCTATGCCTCATCTCTCCCCACCCCTCCAGGAGGCTCCACTGCCCGCGGAACTATATCCACACGCAACTGTTCGCCACCTTCATCCTCAAGGCAGGAGCTGTATTCCTGAAGGACGCTACCCTTTTCCAGGAGGATACAGAGCACTGTGTCTTCTCTACTGTAAAGGCCGGGGGAGCGGGGGCAGCGGGAAGAGAGGAGACCAGGAGACAGGCATAGGTGCATCTATGCCAGCCTGTGGGGCCCGGGGCTTCCTCCTGTGCACAGATTTGGTGACTTCTTGGAGGGGGAAACTGGAGGGCTTCAGAGAGGAAGTGGCTGTAGATCTAGGTTGACAGCAGCAGTGAGGAAGTAAGGAGGAAGGATTTGAGACTCGAGAGTGAAGATATTAGGAGACAGAGGGCCTAGTGTGTGGGCACAAAACAGGAGGTCATGCAGGCCGGGGGGAGTGAAGAGAGCCCAGAAGGGGAAGACTGGAGGCTCAGCAACTACATGGCTGTCTGCAAGTGAGCCCAAAGCTGGCTTCAGTGAGCACGTCAGTGAATGAACAAAGCTGCGAAAGACCTGAATTAATTAATGCAAGCATTAGTGATTGAGTATATTGAGTACATATATGTGCCAAATGGCCTGCTAAATGCTTTATACATATGATGTATGAGTCTAGTCTTCAAGGCCAAAAACATGCATTTAGCCCTGTTTTGTAAATAAAGAGCAGCAGGCAAGGAGAAGGGCTAGGTCCCACACTGGTCCTCTGGGTCTCGAGGCCACACTGCTGCTCATAGCCTCTGGTGAGCAGAAGTGTGCAGCAGTGTGTCCCATCCTGGGTGTCTGCAGCCCGAGCTGTGTGAGGATCAGTGGTCCGTTATTATAGCTCCCTGAGGATAGGGAAGGGCAGGATGAGCAGCGGCAGTGTTTACAGAGCGTTTCCACACTGACGGGGCCATAGGCACCAGGAGCTCTTCTTTGCACTGGTGGAAAGCAACTATGAGGAGGATTAGCATGGCTAGCAGGCCATCTAGAACAGAGCCTATGTAGATCCCAAGTCTGTGTTCTTAGCTATTGCATTATGCTACCCCATCTGCCATGGGCTGAGCCTTCGGAGTTGGGTGGAAGTGGAGAGGGCCTAGAGGTTCAGGGTCTCAGTGGTATAAGGAAGGCCTGTTGGGGCTGTGCTGAAGCATCCACGTCTCTGTCCCCCAGGTCCTGTGCAAGGTCTCCGTAGCTGTCTCCCATTTTGCCACCATGACCAACTTCAGCTGGCTGCTGGCAGAAGCTGTCTACCTGAGCTGCCTCCTTGCCTCCACATCTCCCAGCTCCAGGACAGCCTTCTGGTGGCTGGTTCTTGCTGGCTGGGGTGAGCTCTGAGCGGTAGCAAGGCCCGGGGAGCTCCTAGGGAGGAGCATCATTTCACTGTTGGGGACCCTGAGGTGGGGGTGGGGCAAGGGTACAATCCTGCTGTTTTGGAAAGTGGCTGCTAAGCCTTTGCTGTCCTGCCCTTGCTGTCCTTGTGTGGCTGACAATGAGTGGGAGGTAGGGGTTGATCTCAGCAAGTTCTTTTTCTGCACAGGGCTCCCCATGCTCTGCACTGGCACCTGGGTGGGCTGCAAGCTGGCCTTTGAGGACAACGCGTGAGTCCCATGCTGTCTTCTCACCAGCATTCTGGTGGGCAGGGCTAGATCAGATGGTCAGGCACTCCAGGCTGGAAAGAGAGGAGGAGGTTCTAGATTCGGTGGGTGAAGGAGGGGGCTGCCTGCAGAAAACCCAGGAGGGGCCAGCTTGTCAGAGCTGCCTGGATGAGGAGGAGATGGGAAGCTGTCAGTGGAAGATAGGATGTGTGAGGCTAACGAGGAGATGTCAGATAGATTTTATAGAGCTCTACCTATAGGGAGGCTTAGCCAGCCTGGGGCTCCCCATTGGAAGGGGGTCCTGTGTGGGTGAGACAGATGAGGCCAGAGAGAGGTGGAATGTCAGGCATGAAGGTCACAGAGGACAGGAGCCCTGGAGCAGAGAAAGCACAGGAGGGAAGGACTTGGTTACTAGCCTCAGCCTTGGCCCATCCTCTCCTCAGGTGCTGGGACCTAGACGACAGCTCCCCCTACTGGTGGATCATCAAAGGGCCCATCGTCCTTTCCGTTGGGGTCAGTCCCAGAGGCCAGTGTTCTTGGCTTCACTCAGCCAGCTTCCCTTGGTCTATGGAAGACCCATTCACCGCAGGAGACCTTCGCTCTCCTGGTCTCCAGAGGCAGGCTTCTCCCAGCCTCTTGGTCAACCCCAATGGGCTCCCCTAGCACGGGGGCCTCTGGCTCAGTTTCCATGTACTGGGTGTGCTGGCCATAAATGAGACGCTGTTGGTGGAAAGCTGGGATGAGGTGTCGAGGGATCCTGTGCCCACCTGGTTCCCACTCTGAACAGGAGGCTACTAGGATATCCTTGTGTGGCTCTGTGGGTGTGGGAATTTTGGTCGGCATAACAATGTTCAAAGTGAGGTCACTGATTTGTGCTACAGAGGACTCTAGGAGGGGACTGGAGGCATGGCGAGGCCTGACCCTTTCACCCTTGTTTCCAGGGTGAAGAGGGAGGGTTCTCTGAGTACTCCTCTGCACTCAATGTCCCCACCTGAGAACTCCGAGTCTCAGGCTGCATTGTTCTAGAGCAGTGACGGTGAACCTTTCAGAGCGTTTGCTGACACTAACAGCTTGTTGCGGCACACATGGCATAGGGTGGCCACCGTTGTTCTAGAGCAACAGCCAGCGCATCATCCACCTGTGCCCCACCTCCAGATTCGGAGTTTCTGGTTCCCGAAGTGGCTGGGGCTCCACCATAGGTCCCCTAGGTCTTTCCTGGCTCTTGCCCCCCATATTCCTACACCTCATTTCTAGGTAAACTTCGGTCTTTTTCTCAATATCATCCGCATCTTGCTGAGGAAACTGGAGCCAGCACAGGGCAGCCTGCACACGCACTCTCAGTACTGGTATTGTGTGTGTGTGTGTGTGTGTGTGTGTGTGTGTGTGTTGAGGGGTGGGGGATATGAGGCAGTGACTCTATGTGCATTGTCTTCATGACCCCAAATGCATCCTTTTCTGTATGACCCAGAGACAGTGTGGGAAGGGTGGGGTCACTGAACTACCAGGGACCAAGCCACACAGGCAGAGAAGAGCTGAACCAATTTGAACAGGGACTTGGAGAAGGAGATCCACTCTAGATCAGGGGCAGAGGGGGGTCAGAGAGAGCTTCTGGGAGAAAGTGGTCTTTGAGCTAGACTTTTAAAAGTGCATAGAATTGAGAATAAACTGAAGCAGAATTGAGTGCTGCCTAATGTGGAAGGCCAGGTAAATAGGGGAGGATGGTGTGCTCTGGGGTTGCTGGTGCTCAGGGTGGATGTGTGCAGGTAGTAGACAGCACTAAGAGATGGAGTATGTGGGAGTTTCTAATCCCAGCTTGTACCCTGGGGACTGTTTCTTCCCTCCAGGCGTCTCTCTAAGTCAACGCTTCTCCTCATCCCACTCTTTGGAATTCACTACATCATCTTTAACTTCCTGCCTGATGATGCTGGCTTGGGCATCCGCCTGCCCCTGGAACTAGGGCTTGGATCCTTCCAGGTGAGACCTGTACAGGTGCTCTTTCCTCACGGGTACTTGGATGGGAAGTCTTTGCTAACTTCACAATAGAATGAGGATTATTGTTGTTCATCCATCTTTTCAACTGTCTGTCCATTTTCCATCCATCCTGCCATGTCTCTATTCATTCAACTATCCCATTCTCCTATCCATTTATCCATCCACTCATGCCTTTGCCCATCATCCATCCATCCATCCATCCATCCATCCATCCATCCATCCATCCATCCATCATCCATCCATCCAACCACCCACCTATCCATCCATCTATCCATCCATCATTCATCCATCCATCCATGAATCCATCCATCTCCATCCATCCATCCATCCATCCATCCATCCATCCATCCATCCATCCATCTATCCATCTATCCATCCATCCATCTTTTACTGAGCACCTATTATGCACTCATTGATAGAAGATCCACAAACAAAGACAGAGAGACAAGGTTAACAGTAAGTCATAACTGGCTTGCTATGATGAATACGTAAGACGGTGTATTTGGCACATAATGATTGGTGTGTCTGAATTTTCTTTTGACAAAGACCTGGCCCAAGCCACAGACTGGGGGTGGATGGGAAGGCAGTAAAAAGACTGTGCACACCTTGAGGACAGACCAAACCATTCTGACAGTTTCTCCTCTGTGGTCCCGCAGGGCTTCATCGTTGCCATCCTCTACTGCTTCCTCAACCAAGAGGTGTGTGATGTTCTAGCTTTTCCTCACACACGGAGCCCCTGCCCCCAGTCCTAAGGCTCTCTCTCTCATCTCAGGCTGACTCCTGTCATCTTCTACTTTTGACATCTTTAGTGGGTGTCATTCCTGGACTCCTGCATCAAGCAGAACCTGGGTGCTTTCTGTAGATGCCTTTCACCCATTCCTCCTCTGATCTGAGCCAAGTTTTCCTGTGTACTTCTCAAGAGGTGGGAGGTGGTCTTTCAGGAGTCAGGGGAGCTGGGGAGGGCTAATGCCTGCTGAGGGAGGGACTGTGAGAGGAACAGAGATGGAGGAACCAAGACAATCAGGAACCTAGACATCCAGGGAGCTAGGAAATAGAGTGGGATTCAGAGACAGCGAGAAAGAGCCAGAGCAGAGCATGAAAAACTGAAAGATCCTAGAAAGATGCAAAAATACTAGGCCACGCAGAATTGGAGGTGGGATGGACAGAGTAGAAGGCACTGCTGTACATGTGGAATTGCGGGAGTTGCTGACGGATGGGAAGGGAAGGCCGCCCAGAGGACCCTGTGGATTTTCCCAGCGTGACATCTTGCTCTGGGTGGAGAGGCGGGAAGATCCCTCTGGGAGTCCAGATGGCCAGGCCCTCGCAGTGCAGGCAGGCGGGGTCAGGGCTCCCCCTGGCGGCGACAGGCCTGTCAAAGGCTCTGCCTTCTGCGGAGACCCGGCTGCCCTTGCCCTAACCCTGGCTGGGGAGCATTCCTCCCTGCCTCAGCTGCCACGTCTGCCCTAACTGCTCTCTCGTCCCGACTCTCTGCACTTGCAGGCCCGCCTCTCGAAGTCCTGGGCAGCCTCTTAAGCTCTGGGACGCAGACCCAGAACTGCAGCATCCGCGCGTAGCAGGTTGTGAATCTGGGAATGCCAAGAGGAGGCTAGAGTAAGGATAATGGGTCTAGGAAAGGAGTTTCTACAGGAAAGCTAAGCGTGCTCTGTCACAGGGAGCAGGGGTGGAGACCAGAGGGTTACATACCTCTGGTGACAGGGCGCTTACTACTCCCACTAGTGCTTTCTGTTCTGCAGCAGTGGTGGGAAGATCATCTTTAAGTGAGCAGACTCTGTCTCCCTTCCATCTTTCTTTACAGCCCCAGCCCAGCTGTGCCAGGTGGGTGCAGTGGCCAGGGCCCCTTTGTCCCCAGTAGTCCTGTGCAGATGTGGAGACAGTGTGCCTGCCTGCTTTCCCAGGCAGTTTTGCTTTGTGTTCTCATGACTGTAGTCCCTCAGACCGAAGCCTAGGGCCTCCCTTTTCTCATTTGCATCCTCTGGACAAGTTCTTTGTGGCTATACTCCAGTTCACAGAATTGAGCCATAGATTAGGGGCTAGTCAGAGGCATTCAGGGGGACAGAGTAGGTGCTTGGTCAAGAACTCAGGGAAGCACTCATAAATGATATTAACTGGGTTCAGACAAAGGTGTGCTAAAAGACAACAAAATGAACTGTAGACAATTGCCAAAAATATTAAGAGGCAGGAGGAAGTAGTATCCTTTGGAGGCAGTACCTAGCAGTCGGTACCTGTGACCACTATGGCATTTCTTGTCTTGCTGTTTTCCCATACAGCCCCTCCCTCCCTCTCAGTATCACATGGTTGAGTAGTGAGTAGAAGTGAAACCTTCCTAACATCCTCTTCCCTGTCTCTGGAGGTGAGGACTGAGATCTCACGCAAGTGGCATGGTCATGACCCTGAACTTCTGCCAGCCCGGCGGACCTGTACTAAGTGGACCATGCCTTCCAATGCGGGAGCCAAAGTGCTGACGTCTATGTGCTAGGCTGGCTGCACCACATCTGGAGCCCACAGCTGGGCTGGGGCAGCTGCTTGGTGCCCATCACCGTCTGGAGGAGAAGAGACCCTGGGAGCTCTCGCGCGGGGCTGCTGCCCAGCTCTGGGCAGGGAGCAGCACTGCCACCCTGGCTTTGCAGCTGTCTTTCCTCCAGGCCTCTGTGCGCCGTTCGCTGATTCCCTGGGTTACTGTGTCTGCTCCTGAGGTCCTCTTCCTTGGTCTAGGGCTGTCACCGAAAATCTGGAGGAACCAATAAACTTATACCCAAATGACAGTGCTTGAGTGTGTGAGTGTGCTTCCCAAGGGGATGTAGCTGCATTTGTTTGGATTTCCAGATGGCAGAGTGGTGCCTGCCATTGCTGGCTCATGCCGGACCACCATCACTAGTCTCTGCAGGGACCCCTCTATTTGTTTATTTTTAAAGCATATTTTAAAGTGTATTTTTAAAGTCACCTCCCCTTGTAGTCCCCTCCACTCACAGGCATACAAGCCAATGGGTTTAATGTGAACCCTTGTGCTTCTATGTTGCAAAAATGGAGCGTTCCATATGTCTGTTTCGAATTTACATACATGCTGTCGATTATATGCTTCATCGTCCTCTTAACACTTCCCCCTTAGCATTAGCATTGTGCTTTTACAAGAACCCTTCCCCTTGCTGCCACGTGTACATCTGCTCTGCTGTTTTGACTGCACATGTGCCACATGGTGCCCTCTCCCCTGGGCTGCCTGTCCCTTCCCTCTAGGCGGACATCCATCTGTGTGTCCCTTATGGGTTGGTGGAGCAAGTCTTCCTCCAGGACTTACCCTGAAGCATCAGTCACGCCTCTTGTGGCAGATTGCAGCTGTGAGCCAGCGCTCGAGCTCTCCCCCAGAAGCTTCGGGGGCCCCGGTGCCCTCAGCCCCCAGCGCTTGGTATTTTCCAGCTTGGCATGTTTGCAAGCCAGAAGCATATGTGTGGTGGCAGCACGCTGCTGCTCTCACTTGTGTTTCCCTGATGCTAGACAAGTATAAACACCTCTTCTTGTGCCTGCTTAGCCTTCTGGGTATGTTCGTCTGGGAATTCATTACTTGAGTCTCTTTCCCTGTCTTCCTCTGGGGTAGAGATTCCTCAGTTCTAGGTCTTTCTCCTGCATCCTCCCCGTTGTGCTTCCAGTGGCCCAGCCTATTGGCTGCTACAACACAGTGGTACCACCCATCCCTCTGCCCCTCTCCTCTTGAACAAGAAGGAAGAGGCAAAGAGCCAGGAGCTGTCACTGGGGACCTTTGCTGACTGATGGGGTGGTGGGATTTCAGTACAGAGAACAAGCACCTGGACACTGCGCAGGTCACAATGACATCTGTCCTTGGCTTGGTCTGCTCACAGCAGGTGTGTCCTACAGAGCTCAGCTCCATCCTTCCTGCCTCCAGGAAGCCTCCCCTCACTACACCAGCCTTTCCTATATTCTTCCTTTCTGCTGCTACCCTGAGAATCTCTCCTCACCCTCTGCCTCTACCCATTTGGACTGATAGCAAGGTGCCAGTTGCTCTATCCTGAACTGTGTTTGACCTCTCTGGTCCCTGTGACCTTTTTACGCACAGAGGGTCTGCATGGTTCCACTGCCTGCCTGGACCAGATTTCCTCTCTTAGGCACTGGGAGCAGAAGGCCCAGGGTGCTGGTGCACAGGGACATGTGTGGTAGAGGCTGCTGGCTCCCCTCCCACTGCTGAGGCTTCCTGTGCAGGGAGATGCAGTTATGCAAAACCAAAGGTCACGTTGCTGCTCGTGATGCCCAGCTGCCCAACTCCTGCCCGGTCAGACAAATGCCAACGTCAAACTTTGGGCTCATCACGAGTTCTTTCTTTTAGTCTTGGTCATAAAAGTTATTTACACTCCTTGCAGGCATTTGGGAAACATAGGAGGAACTAAAAAATAAAGTAAAAATCAACTATAATCCTACAATCCTGCAACATTTGTCATTGCTGTATCTATTTGTTTCCTAAAAGGGTGTCATGGTTTGAAAGTTTTGCAAGGGGAATAATATGATACAGGGCACATTTTTTGTTAGTTTATAAGGAATCATCCAAGAATCATATACAACAGGTGCAGGAAATCTATCAGCACACTGAGTACTAAAGGCTCCAGCTGAGGACCTGGGTCCTAATATCTTGCATGAGTCCAGATGAAAACACAGAGCTCCTAACAACGCCTCCCACAAGTCCAGCTGGAGGCTTAGAGCCCACAACAATGTCTCATGCAGGCCCGCTTCATGGGTCTGTGCTGGAAAGGCCCAAAGGTCAGTGCAGAAGCTAGCAAGTCTATGCCAAGGGATGAAGGATCCATGCTAGCAGGCTGAGGGATCTGAACTGGAGCTAGGCAGCAACGCTCAAATAAGCACCAGAGCTCCCCCAAAAGTAGCACAGCCATCCTCAGCAATGGTGAGCTCCCAAGCTTCTCCACGGATGAAGAAAGCTGAGTTCCCATCAGGAAAGCCAATGCAACAGGCTTTTCCGTGAGGCTGAGCAGACTGCCATCTTCCCCTCTGGATCCCGAAAACAGTGCTCAGAAGAGGACCCCAGCTCCTCCAAAGTTCATCGGGAAAGCCAGCGTGACAAGGTCCTCCAGCAGAACAGCCTTCAAGAAACAGCAGCTTCCAACAGCTTCTCCAAGCAGCATCTCTAACACCGTTTCCACAGCTTCTCCTGTTCTGCCTTCATGCTACTGGCAACAACCCCCAGGTGGGCCCCCCGCACCCAGCGCCAAGCTAGTTCCGTTCAGCTGGGTGTAAGAAGCTGGCCACAGGTGGCTATCCACCACAAAGGGGGTTTCTCTGAATTTTTTGAAACGCCTTAAAGTCATAATAGATTTGTAAGTTTGCATCTTGTTTTTACACTTAAAAATAGTCATGACATACAAATGGCCAAAGAGGATCTGAAAGAGTGTTCAGCATCATTCATCCTTAAGAAAATATGGATCAAAGTGATGATGAAATACTATTTTACACCTCTGGTAAAAATGGAACAAATGGAAAAAATAACAGGTAGTACTGAGAATGTGAAGAAATTAGAACCCTTATACATTATTGGTGGAAACCTAAAAATGGTCAGCTGCACTGGAAAAAGGTTTGGCAGGTCCTCAAAAAGCCAGATAATGAGTTATCCAACAAACGCTTTTCTTGGGATATAAGCAAGACAGTTGGAAAGGTAGTTGCAGAAAAGCATGCACACAAATGTTCCTGGCACCCTTATTCATCATAGAAGGAAGCTACCTTGCCAGGTGAAAGAAAAGTCACAAAAGGCCACGCTGCGTGTGATTCCATTTCATTAATGTGAGATATCTGGGGTAGGCAAATTGCTGGTGGGTTTTTTGTGTGATTTCCTTCTGAAGCTATAAAATCTTCTAAAGTTAGATAGTAATGAAGGCTGCAGCCTGTGAATATTCAGAGCCCCACACAATTGGACACTAAGGCAAGTGAATTTTCTGGTGTGTGAAATATCTCAGTCAAGCTGTCATTTAAAAAATACAATTGCACGTGGTACAGGACTCTTGCAGAACCTTTTCTGCTACAGAATGTGTAAAGTCTGTAGGATATTATTTCTGTAATCAGCAATTCTTTAACAAACTCTCTGTTATTAAAAATTAAAAATCTCTATTTTTAAGTAAACTTCCTTGTATCTGATTCTTCATGTACACTTAAAAAAAAAACCCCAAAAGCTTCAGAATAAATTATCAGAATTTCAGAATAAATTCTCCTGCTCCTGGACTTTTGGAGCCAATGTGATGCCCATGATGCACTCCGGGCGATCGGCTCCCAGACGAGTCGCCTAGTAGATTCTTGCACAAACCATCAAACGAGAGCCTGTAGCCTTGTTATTATCATTAAAAGCTTCTTTTTCCCTCTGAGTTTTAACTGTTGGTAGAACTGCCAATTTACTGTAGTGTTAGTTAATGATTAGTGTTAGTTTAATTTTTCTTTTTTCTTTTTCTTCAAACCCTTTTTTAAAAACAATGTATTTGGTATAGGGTCTTGCTATGCAGCTCGGACTAGCAGTGATCTTCCTGTCCAGCCTCCCCGGCACTGGGATTACAAGCGTGCACCACCATGCCTGGCCTCAGTGGCTAGCATGGTGCACATGCAGTACTGGGGATCAAACCTGGGCCCTTAGTTTGCCAGGTAGGCACTTAGGCTGCCAAGCTATCTCCCCAGCCCAGTGTTAGTTAATATCAGGGACTATCTCAGTTACTCTTCTGTTGTTGCTGGGACAAATATTCGACACTCAAAACAAAGGAAGGAAAGGCTTATTTAGTTCACAGTCACTGGAGGTTTCAGTCTGTACTCAGGTGGCGCTGAGGCAGAGCGGCACATAGCAGAGAGAAAGCTTTCGTGGTGGGGGCAAAGAGCAAGAGAGCGAAGGGAGGAATAACCACAGCTCTGGCTGCTGCTTCTCTTCCCTTCTTACATTGTGATGCAAATTCCCTGCCCCAGGGCAGGTGTGGCACTCGCACACATAATCCCGGTGGATCACGAGTTAATCACAAACTCTAGAAGTCCACCCCAAGACTGCATGAGGCTTTGGGGGAACAACTAGACACAAACCATAACAGGGACTAACTAATGATTAGTATTAATTACCAATTAGTGTTAGTGTTTAGAGGTGTTAGTGGTAGTGGCTAGTTAGTGGTTAGTAATTAATGGCTAAGCCAGCTCGCAGTGGTGGCTCATCAGTGGTTAGTGTTAGTTAGTACTGGTTAGTGCTGACAGTTAGTTAGTTTATGGTGCCAGGAGCAGCAGAAGCACTTGCTTTGTGCAATGTCCCCCTCCCTTTGGTGGCTCTACCCAGGGCTGCAGGTCTCCCTCTTGCTCCTTCCAATTTCACGCAAGAGCTTCATACCCCCCACCACTCCTCCACTCTCTTCCAAGAGGAGAAAGTCTGGCCTGGGGCTGTGACGCATGTTGCTGGCAAACTCGTCCTCTTGAGGGCTTCAGCTCCCCGTGACTGCAGGAGGGGATTGGTCAGAGAGGGCGCTGGACAGCACGCAAGGGCACGGATGGAGAAGAACAGAGCTCCTGTCGGCCACCAGGTGGCAGATGGACTTCAGCCCAG